CCAGAGAAAGTAATTCGACCTGCTCTTAGAAAGGATTATAGGTTACCTAAACTTGTAGAATAGGAAGCCACCAATGATAACAAATGAGAAGCATGCTACCAGGAGCACCACAAAGAACCTAAAAACATTTACAAAAGAATTTAGCCAAACGAGAACGGTAGCTTTGCAAAGCTCTATCCAAAATCTTCACTTACGTGGCAACATTTTTATCAAGTTGGATGTTAAATAGATACAGTAACCGTGCAAAGCTCCATCTAATATCTTGAAATGAAGGAAAAGACACATCCAACCGACGAGGCACGGGTTTATTCAAAGAATTAGAAACACAGGCAAAGGGCAAGGTGGCAGCCCCGAAAGTTTGAATGATATAGGGAAGTTTTGCTTGGACAAACTTGATGAAAGTATTAAAAATACTTGACTGCACCAGTCTAATTGAGAAATAAAAGGACACCAATCCCATCATGACTTTAGTCAGGTGAACCTGCAAATACACCAAATTCCATCAAGAAATTTACTAAATACTAGTAGCTGCCATGATATGAATAAAATGCAAGATCTGAAGCCAGCAGATTTCCCCGGAATTAAAAGATTCAGAATATGATGAGTTTGTTCAAGTTATCATGGATACAAATAGTTGATAACAGAGAGTAAACGGGTGAATCCACTAAATAGAGGAACCTCGAAAGGGGTTTAAGCTGTTATCCGCTTTAATCAATTCTAATTCAGCAAAACTGATTTGTTCTTTTTTTCAGATTAAAAAACAATTATATCTAATGCAGATTCATCCATCTAATGCTCTCGTTAGAAATTGAACAGATAAATAAAAAAATTTCTATCTAATGCTCTCACCTGAGAAATATTAATTGGGTCTGCACTAAAGAGTTTGTCATTCGAATCGTCTTCAACATTTATATACACAGTGGAATCTAACTTATTTTCTGCCCCTTGAGAACTGGCCTCACATTTTCCTGTAAAAAGAATAAACAAATGTAAGATATCCCTAGTGAGTGATCAAAATATAAAGCAGAATATCAATGCATTCACACATGATAAAGCATACAAACAATATTCTCACCTCTGTTGAAACTACATGCATGTAAAGACGGAGATTTGATCCACCAAAAGTGGCATGGCATTAATTTCCTGTTAAGTATCATATCAAAGTTAGCATCATATGGCTCGTGTACGCTAAAACTCAGGATAACTGTGCATCAATATTTGCCCCAATGTATGTATCATAACTAGGTTGCACAAATACAGACATCAACAACTGTACTCCAAATTACAATTTCTGTCAGTTACATAATATGGTATTTATCACAACATGCATGAGATAGAAATCGGAAAGCTTTTCATTCATAACACCATATGCTGCTTGCAAAACTTAAATGTGATAACCGTGCATCTTGGTTCTGTAAATACCGAACAGATGATAAGGGCTTATAAAACAGAGCTCGACACGGAGAATTTATGTATATGGCATCGCACATTAACTGACCGTTTTCATCATTGTCATCAAACTCCTACTCTACAGGAGGAACACATACTTTTAAATAGGCAACAGCATGAGAAAGGCATTTAGTACTAGTTAAAATAATAAGGTGGTTTAAGCAGACAATTTCCTCGAAGATATGCAGGAGTTTGAGCTGAAGTATTTAGAATATCAGAAACCGTGTATGTCAATCTGCAAAGAAAGGGCGTAATGAATCCAGATAAGTCCTCACGGAAAGTACTCATCTTTTGATCACTCTCTCTCCGCCATTAGAGCCGGTAACATTGTAGGTTCAATTCCTGCTGCCGGATGTGAAAGTTCTTCCTTAAGGCTAGGTTGGGTTCCTCAGGTGAGGGGTGCAAACGTTATCCCTCTACTTCAAGCCCTACTCCCGAATCGAAAAAACAATGAGTCTTGTTGTCGTACTTCCTCTCCATCCGGGTACTAACACAGAAACTAAACTTCCAGGCAACTGAGCCAGCCCCTTTATCTACCAAACTTCAAACTCCAACAAGTTCACACTTGCATCAAAAGAATTCGGCACTACCCAACAGTTGAACACCCGAAATCTCTCAATTCGCATTACAATCAACAGTTGAGAATTTCAAGTACTACCCAGCTGACAAATACTTAGGAATCAGAGGAACATATAAAATCTACCAAGAAACAAAGCATGAAACTTGAAGGTTAACAACAACCAAGTACCACTACCAAGTGATGGGGTTCAAATGAATTGGTTTTCAGGACCAAGAGTGCAAACCTGGACCAAATTCGGACGCTAAAGAACCTAACGTTCGGATTCATACACGAAAATGCAACTCGAACTACAGTTCAAGGACGTTTGCTACAATTAGTCCATTAACCAATTAACGGAATAAACCCTTTAAAACCCATATGAATGCCAATGCCATCAAACAACCAAAAACTGGCATCATAAAAAACCCTCACTTGGTGATTGAAAAGATGAGGAAATGAAATTCTAAATACCTTTTTGGGGAAGAAAAACGGTTGGAGACGGGAACCCGACAAGGCAAAACGCAGAGCTGCAAGCTGTGCAGCTGACTACTCGGAAGAACCATGTCTGTGAGACTGTGACAGTCACAAGTGTTTTTCCGGAGTTTTGAGGTTTCACAAGAAAGAAGGAAACATTGGAGACGCAACAGAAACTTCAAACAACACAAATGGAAGTTGGAAAAAAGAAACAGAAATCTGGGATCTTTCGGGGAATCAAACGTGGACCACCTGCAGAAATTTTTCAATGGAAACTTTTATTTTTTAAGTTGTTATTAACTTTTTAAAATATATATCTTACTATTTTTATAATGACACGTGATATATATTTCGGATGCCAATTATACTGAAGAATCTCTCAACCACGTGGTCCCTCCCAAAAATGTCATTTGCTTTCCTATGCGTGCTTGCAACTACAGAGGACACTGGACAGTCGTTGTCAAACCTTTTGTCGTCGATTGATGATTAATTTCAGTACCATTAAAGCTTGTGGATGGAGATGTTCCAGACAAGAACACCAATAATCAATTATTTGATGATATTTCTATTTTGCGAGGATTACGATACCGTTGGAAAGATCAAATTTTTTAAATTAAATAATATGATTGTAAATAATTGAATTATTAATTAAGTACTGATTAATGTATTTATTTATTATTAATGATACATTATTTAATTTGTAGTTTGATTTAAAAAATTTGATATCTCTAACACGATCCTGAAAATTATCACCAATAGCGGTTTTTGATTTCTTATCCCGATTTCATCCACAATCAAACAATATATCAGCGTCTCACATGAATAACATTGTGTTTTTACCTGGGGATACTTGACATTGTGGATCTCAACACGTGAATAACCTCAAAATCAATTAATAATATTGAAAGTCATTCAAGTCAATGTGGTTGAAAAGGATACAAGTATAATTTCATTTTCTAATATAAATCGACTTTATATGAACAAGTATTACAATGAGACACGGTAATTTGATGGAAGGGATTTTTTTTTTTTTTGGAAAACCTTAACGGTACGAAGAAAATTTTATTGATAACAAAATATTATAAGAGGTATCTCACGGTGATAAACTGACTTCTTTTTCCATGTAGTTCTGGTACTGCATGAGCCATGAGGTAGTATCATAGTTTTTACACAAGGATCAAATGATACACAAAATCATAGTCGCTGGCCCTAAGATATGCATCTATGGGAGTTTGAATTCGGACTCGGAACTCCAACTCTTTGCTCTCGCTTTCCACTAGACCAACCCTTTGAAATTTCTATGCTGTTATTTAAGAGAATGGTTGTAACTTGTAAGAGAATTTTTACTAATCATTGTTGTGCGTGAACGCGTGAGACTAGAGATTAGTGATTACTTGGTTAAGGGAAAGTGAGGATGGAGAACAAAGACAACACAAGAAGCAATCAAAGTGGGGCAAGTGGTGGAAGCTGAATCCAATTGTCATGGCGTGAAATCTATCATCGAAAACTACAAATACAATAAAAGATGAGTTGAACAGATCAACATGTACAATAAGTGCAATTCCACATTTGCTACACGCACTTGCTTCACACAAGTGCTTATAAGGCTTTACACTGAAAAATACTTTTGCCGAGCCTAATAACATGAGTTTCTAATTAAGAAAGAATTAAAGTGACTGATGAATTGAAGCCCACAACGATATTCAGCCTGGAATATGCCAAACCCACAAAGATATTCAGCTCGCAGATGACGCTCTAGGCCTACTACTCGAATTAGTAAAGCACCCCACTCTCAAAAGGTAGGTTGCAAAACCCACAAAGACATTCAACCCGGAATATGCCCTAGGATGACAACCTCTGGCTGCCCAGATCTCACAGATGATGACGTCTTTACCTAGCGTGCTGCCTGGTTTGACGACTCCTACAACCAGTCTTTTGCCCATCGCCCCAGAAACTTTCAAGTTTGAGTTTTGGCATCATAACATAGGGTGTGAGGTCGTATTAAGCACACCCTATGTTACTCGGGTTAGTAAGACGCCCCTCTCTCTACAGGTGGGTGGCAAACCTACATATTGAACCAGACCGGGATGTGATGGGATTCAACGGCCAGCGACTGCCCAGATCCTGCAGATGATGATGCCTTAACCTAGCGTGCTGCCCGGCTCAACCCCTTATCGTACAACCATTTTTGCCCACTCGTCATAAATTTTTTCTATATTGAATTCTCTACAGCCCTTCATTGAAATGGAACGGCAACGTTTGCGATATCTTGCAAGCTTGATGTGGCTATCTCTTGATTTTGAATGTTTTCTTCCTTTTTTTTTATTCTAATTTTCTTTTGTGTATCACTAATTTGAACTTGGCACCTAATTCAACAGTATGAAAGAGAATACTCGCATACCTCTTGAGTTTGAGTTTTGGTTCCTAATGATTCTTTTCCTACCACTTGAATAATATTATTCCAGATTTTACCAGTAACACCTCACCGTGATAAAAATATTACGAGTAGAAACACATGTGCTCAAGAAGTCAGATACATAATATTATTTACAGGTACATAATAATTACTTAGACAATAGCTCTAAAGAGTAAAACTATCACTTACCCTCACGTTCACAATAAGAATTCGACTATAACCTTTGTCTTTCCTAAATGAAATAAAAGCCAAAAGAAAAAGAAAACTTAGTTCATCGCTGGTCATCTTGCTCATCATCGGAGATGTCAAAAAACAAATCATCACTCTTACACAAGGCATAGACTATATCCACCATGGTTGGCCTTTTTGAAGAATCTTTATGCACACAAGCAATGGCAACAGTCATAACATTCACTATGCTCTCCATTGAGACCGACTCCAAGACAAGTTCACTGTCCACCCACTCCCTGAGTTTCCTTGCCTTCTCTTCCTCATTTCCCTCCAAAATACTACCAGCACTTGCCCACAAAACATTTCCATCTTCATCAACTGCCTCCTTCCCCGAAACAAGCTCTAATAAAACCACCCCAAAAGACAAAACATCCATTTTCGTCGACACCACCCCGTCAGCTAGATACTCGGGTGCAATGTAACCTTGAGTTCCAACAATGTGCATCGTTATGGCATTGCAACCGGTCTTTGCTAGCCCAAAATTTGCTATTTTCGCTCTCATGTTCGAATCTAATAGAATATTGCTGCTCTTGATGTCTTTGTGCACAACCCTCGGCCTAGTGTGCTCATGAATGTATAGGAGACCGTTTGCAACGTCGATAGCAACTCGCAGCCTTGTCTTCCAACTCAATTTTTCCTTCTGGTTATGATGCAACCATGAATAAAGAGAACCATTTTCGACATACTCGTAAATTAGATAGCAAGAATCATCCTCCTGGTCTATGCAGAAGCCCTCTAGCTTCACCAAATTGCCATGGTTTACCTTCAAAATTCGAAAAGCCATTGTTTTGTCAATTATAATTCAAAATTGTGCACATAATCACTTACTAATCATGTTGTAATCAAAATACCTTTGGAAAGTAGTTAAAATGTTTGCTAATAACAGTAAATTAAAGGAAAATAATTTTTTAGAAGTTATTTAAGTGAAAGTTACAAATCTTGGAAGTCATCAAAGTTTTTCAGTTCAAGCATGAGAGGCAATCTCACATGCACCCTAGTTGAAGTTCTTTTTTTTTTCCGGACAACGCGATAAATATTTTGAACTATTTTAATTAATAACATGTGTATTGAGTGTTGTTATTCTCATCCCAGTATCTTATTCCTCATCCACTTCTTAATGAAATTTTTAAATACCAGTTTGTCCATTTATAAAATAACATATAAAGACCTTAAAAGGTAATATACAGGTTCTTTAAGTGGAAGGATTCCATATTAACCATATATCACTCCTTGAATTTCCTTGTCCAAATTAGATTCATGTTATGGTTTGTAATTCGATTTTGGTTGTGATGGAGGGGTCACTATTCCAAAGCTGTAGCATGAGCAGGCTCAGTTCACAGAATAAGAAACCCAAAGAAGGCAAAAGTTGAGTAAGGAGCCTAGAGCCTAGAGCCTAGAGCCTAGAGCTGTTGTCCAAAAATTGAGAAAAAAAATTCCAAATTAATTGAACCAATTCCATAAAACGGGATTTAGAAAAATTCAAAAAAAAGGACCTTTGCAATTTGAATCAAGGAGGAGGGACACCCAAATCCGTTCTCCAAAAAAAGTAGTACTTGAAAAAACAACAATCCCAAGGAGATTCCTTGAATCCATATCTGAATTTGGAAGACAACACGTAAATATCTTCGATTTGTCTTTCAAGATTGGCGTTCGATTTTGCTAAGAGACAAGTTTATAATTGCATATGTGTTTTAGAAGTTATTTTAGGAATAATAGTGGATGGGGAAACACTTTCAATTTTTTAACTTTTTATGGTGGGTAGAATTATAATGTAGTTAAAAAAAAAAAAAGATAATTGTGTAAGTCTACCAGCTCTTTATATATTTTAAACTGCTCTAATATATATTCAATTCTGAACAAAATAGAAAAGATATAAGCAAGTAAATGTCCTCTTTGATCTCACCAAACCTATTATATTTACATGAAATATGATTCCAACAACTGACTGAACCCTCCAATATTGCCCAACAAAAACTGAATTAAAAAATGACTAAAAGCCAAATTGCAAGGCCGCACGTTTGGAAGTTTATGCACACGGTTCAGTTTGTTATCTTCATCTGGTACTTCATTTAACTTTTGATTTACGAGGCACTTACAAGAGAAGAATTCAAATTTCAGTACGATAGCATAAACATTATCATAGTTAACTGATTTAATCTATACTTCTACCTCATTTGACTTCTTTGCCAATAAATTTTGTCTAAATTTTAGAAGTACATCGTCTATGGCTACATTCGAAGGCTCTACAATTTGAATATTCAAATATATGGAAAACCATTTTTTCTGCTTGAGCATAATCAATAAAAAGGACCCCAAATGCGACACCGCTGACGGCAGCCAATTTTCCTGGCATTGTTTTCTTCCTAAGTATGCTTTAAACACAATTAATATTTAAAGCCCCCGGCCTAACTAGATATGCTATTTTAAAAACTTGAAAAACGTAATAGGCAGACAAGTCACATTGCCAGATCACCTCAACAATATTTTATATTAAATTAATTAAATATTTGGAACAGATCAGTTTTATAATGAGGCTTCTTAAGAGCTGTCCTAGTCTCAATCCCTTATCTTTTGGAATGTTTCAACCTTTGGCTCAAACAAGACCTTCCACTATCTATGCATTTTTCCTTGAATACATACAGACACTTAGTGTCGATATATTTGATGGTAGTATCAAATCCAACGATCCTAGTCACTCAGTTTAAGTTGTTGGATAATCCAAACGGCCAATGGAATCATCGACGTACTTCAGTGTTCCTGACAATGCTTCATATATATCCGAAACAACGTTTGCTTAGACTTTCATACAACGTTTGTTTAGGTTTCATCTCGAACAGACGATGTTATTTTGGCCATGAACAAAATATTCCACATAGAAAATAGTAAGTAAAATATCCTACGTTCCAGTAAAACAACACTAGCTTATCAATCCATATATATATATCAATTCACACTTGCCTAACCATTATTCACAAATTTAAATTTGCATTATGGATAGCTAGTTTGCTGAAGGAGTGTTTTTGGAGAATCTAAGTTAAAACTGACTTAAAAACGGATTTAACTTGTCTGCTTAAGATGCTTTAATTGCAAAAATTGCCTAGGAAGGACATGTATGAGCAATCGAATAGTGGATTTTTAGTAGTGTAGCGGGGTTGAATGAGAGTGGAAATAATCTCTCAAAGGTAGTGATTTTCACACTCTTTTTCCTTGTACACTTTTTTTTTTTTTTTAAATTTTTATCCGTTAATTCTCCTTTGATTTGTCACAGGCTAAAGAGAGCCTAATTTTGATAGTTTTGTAGAATAGTCCTTGTTTCCAAGTGAACTTGTGAGGTTAACAAATGCTGAAGTGTGTACTATGCAACAAGATGAAAACTTTACCAAATGCCCAAAAATTAAGAAACAAAAACAGAGAAAAAGAAGGAAGAAGAAGACGAAGGTGAAAGAACCTTTTGTAAGATCTTGAGCTCCTCATAGGCGTTCCACTTCATCTTCTTAATGGCATAGTAATCTCCATTAATGGAACCTTTATACACAGACCCTTCAATCAAGCTACTATCGCTGAACCCATCTGTGGCCTCTCTCAACTCTTCAATCCCAAACACTCTATACTTGTCCAAGCAATCCGAAACATCCGCCATCAAGTTCACCTCCATTTCCTTCGACCTCTTTGACCCCTGCTTGCTCCTGTACAGAACCTTATTCTCCTCCTCATCTCCTTCGCCGCCAATCTTCTTCATCAGCAATCCGTCTCTGTAAATCGAAAACCCGATGACGAAAACCAGCAAAAGCCCGGTAATTCCCAGCCCAATTGCGAGCCCTGTGATCACTCCTTTCCTCTCTGTCTTCCCAGAGGGTGGAGCAGAAGGAGCAACAGTGGGTTGGGAGAGTACCGGAAGGCGAGTCACTGGCACGAAAATCGTGTCAGAAGGCTGGATGTTGTCGCCGTTTAAATCAGTTATGGAATTTGCTTGCACCCCAAACAATGAAGCAACGGTTGAGATGATGTCAGAGGGCTGGAAAACGTACGAGATGAGGTAGTTGACTTGGTTTCCGACCTGGGTTCTGTTGGGGCACTTGCAGAAGATAGGTAAATAGGCGGTGACTCCGATGGTTAAGTTGGTGGCGACCAGATTGGGGTTTACGAGTTCGACGGACTGGTAGGTGGTGAGGTCTTGGAAGTTGTGGGTGGAGACCTGGTAGAAAGTGTCGCCGGCTTTGATGGTGTAGGAGATATTGGCGTAGGAAATGGAGATGGAGGAGTTGGGGGAATTGCAGGAGCAGGAGAGGGGGACGAGGAGGGGCTGGCCGGGGACCAGGGGGGCGGTTGGGGAGGAGATATTGCTGGGTTTGGAGATCATGAGGCGGCTGACTTGGAAAAGGTCGCCAACGGCAGCGAGGTCGAGGAAGTCGGGGAAAAGGGCACTGTAGAAGGCGTAGGTCTGGCAGGGGTAGTAGGTGGTTTGGTTGGCTGAGCAGGTGTAGCCTTCTGTGGTCGGACCTTGAGCTTCAGCATGGTGGAGGAGGTGGTGGCAGCTGAGGAAGAAGAAGAAGAGCAGGGCAGCGGAGACGTTCTGAGTTTTGGTTTTCATTTTTATCGGGTTCTTTCGTATTTTAATGTCTTATAATATAGAGTCATTTTTCAAAAAAAAATAGGATGCCTTGACAGTTAGATATCACTTTAATGAAATTATATGGTTGAGATTAAATTACAAGCTATAGAATCTCAACTACAAAATTTCATTAAAGTCAAATTTAATGTTCAAAAAGATGTCTCTTTTTTTTTTTAGAAAAATAAGGATCCCTTCGCTTAAAGCTTCCTCTCTCTCCTCTCTCTCTCTCTCTCTCTCTCTCTCTCTATATATATATAGAATTAGCATTCTAAAAATCTTATTTTACACTCCAAACTTTTTATATTATGAAAGAAAAATACACTTGTTAGGAGTGTAGAATGAGATTTTTTGAGTGCCAATAATACTTCTATATATATATATATATATACACACACACATATATATATATATATGTATGTATATGTATCGTAAAGATATATATGATTCTAGTCAATAGATGCTTATATATTTTGTATTATTCTCGTCAATTTCTTTGTTGTCCCACCTGGCAAATATTTTTCAACTTATACAAATTTCTAGTCAACTAGGTTAATGGGTAAAGCCACAGCCAGGGCCATCACTCCATAATGCTATACACCTGTTTTCTTCAGATCAAGTGGATATAAAAGATTGGATTTCTGATCAGAGCATTAAGGCGCACTCTACTGATAGTAACACTGAACTACGAGGGCGGCTAAGCCTGTATAATACCCGAGTAGGTCCGACATACGAACGTTTGTCTGAACAAATGAGTTCAGACAATGCTCAGTATGTCACAAGTGCTTGAGTAGTTGAATGTCAGTAAATATTCAATACTAACCATAAACCATTTATCTAACTTGTGAGAAAATTCGAGTCATGAATTAATGTTTGACGGTGGAAACTTGGAAAGAAGCCAAAGATAGGTTGCCGTATGGGAGAGGTCGCACTGCAGAAATCTTAGTGGCGAGACCTAACATTTCCATGATCCATCCAGTGTTTGACTAATGCTACATGGTATGTTTTAAAAGTCATGGTACAATGTTGACTTACCTGACAGCACACATGATGAGAAGGGGGAATATAAAACCAATTATACGACAATTTGCCTTGTTTGATGGGTTGGATTCGTTTGGATTGAATAATTCATTGGATTTAATGAATGATGAATGAAGAAGTGAATGTTTTGTCCGCTAAAAGATGAACTAGTCATAAAAATAACTTCTCTATTTCATCTTATCATTTTGAGGGAATTTGGAGGAATAAGTTTTCGTCACAACTAATTCATCTTCTACCATTACTTGGACAAACTATGCAAGGGTGTATCGACTTCTTCATTCAACATTCTAGCAAGGTATCCAATACGAGTGAACCCTATACACAAAATGAGCCCGGAGTTTTCATAAATAGGCTCCTTTAATAGCCTCGTTTTGAAGAGAAAAACCTAGGACCTATATATTGCTGCACTCGACTGTTATTGACATTAGTCGAGAAATTTTTTTGCCTTTTGGTATGTTTGAAGATATTGCCTCCTCCAAACTTCTCTTTGAGTAGCTAATGCGGTCGGCAGCACTCTCATTTGTTGTGCAATTTTTGCCATACCAAACTAAGGGTTGCTCAACACGCATCATGCCCCAAAATCAAAAGCATCGGTTAGAGAACAAGGAAAAAAAATCTAAAGAAGAAGAAGAGTAGGAATAAATAAATAAATAAATAAATAAACATCAACTTACCAGCCGCATCCACAAGAAGCAGAAAACATCGAGCAACAAGAAATCTAAAATACCTCAAAAGTGAATTACTATTCAAATGTGAAGAAAATAAATTTATGAAAACAACCACTAATTCAAATGGAAGAGCCCATCCAAAATTTACAAGCGAGAATGAATCTGGATAAGCACAACTAATAATAATAAAAAAATATCCCTCAATAAAAGGCCGTGCTAGGAAAAAAAAAAAAGAAAAAAAAAACCTACAAAGAGGAGGATAAATTTGGAATTCAATATGTAGAATTTTAATTTGCAGAAATATAGTAATTGAGATAGAGTTGGTCCTCACACAAGCTCTCAAATAAAACTGAATTTATTAATCGTTTGATATGATTCAATTAAGATTATTATATGAAAATATGGTCTATCATATTCTTCTCTTATTTGAGAATTGAAAGATATTTTATTTTGTAGTCAATCTTATTTTCTTTTTATTCATTTTCTTCCCAATGAATAGTAATATATTTATTAATAATAAAATAATAAAATAATAAAAAAACTCAATTTATTATACGTTAGGTGGAGCAACACTCAGGTTAGAAGGCAGAAATGAATGGAATAAGTCCGCGTTATAAAATCGTGGCGAGTCAGCTTGCTTCGTCCCACTCCAAGATTCCCTCCTCCTCTTCCTATTTTATCTCACCTTCGCACCTTCTTCTCACTCCCAGGAGGAGCAGTCGCAGACCCTTTCGCTATTTTCTCTCTACGTAAGCTCTCTCTCTCTCCCTCTCCTATCTATATTTACCTGTGTACTCCTTGCACTGTTGACTTTCAGTCGTCGAATCCAAGTTTTTGTGTTATTTCTTCCTTTCTTTCTTCATCTCACTTTGCTCGGTGCTTTGATTCATTTATTTTTCGTTGCGTAGAGTGGAAATCTTTGAATTGAATTGAATTGAATTGAATTACATGTTCGTCTGAATTCTTGAACTAGTGTGCGATTGATGGAATGACCATATAGAACAACTTAAAAAGATTCCAACTTTAATCCACGTTGCCCGAATTCGTGGCTACCTTTTTACTAAATTGGATCATGGCGATGGGTATTAAATTTGGTTTTGCAAGTGTAAATTGAATTGAGTAATTTCCTTGACCGAAAGAGGCCTCAAGACTTTCTGTAGCCGAAACTCTTACAGGTGCTATGTGGTAGTATCGAATGTGTGAGTTTACTATATGCCAATTCCAAGTTATGTAGAATTTGAGGTGGCAGATTGACTTGAAGAAATTACAGGTAGCTGTTGTCGATGTTGATCAAAATAATCAAAAGTAGCATCATTTTTCATGTTAAGTAGAATTTGAGGTTGCGGATTGCTTGTTTCTGTTGTTTGGAATATATCATACTTCTTCTGTATTCGATTGATGAAGGAATGACATGCTAAAACTCATTTGTTTCATTTAAAAGGAAAAAACAAGAAAACATAGTTTCTTTTTTCTTTTTCGTTCTAGGAGATTTGCTGTTTTTTTATGACCAGTGCTACCAACCGTTTGAGTTATGAGCTACTGCATAATTTCATTTGTCCCTTGACATCACATATTGACAATATCTTCCATGCAATCTACTCTGTAGTGAAAGATTGTCAACGCTTTTAGCCATGGGCAGTTCTAAAGATGGTCCAGTGAAGGAGATGCCTCTCGGGGTAGATGCAACAACTGAGGAAGAATATGCATCTCAGTCTAGGTTACTTCAAGACTTCACTAGTATTTCCAGCATTGACAAGGCATGGATTTTTAAGTCTGATAGCGGTACGATTTCTCATTCTTCTAACATGCACGTTCTTATCCTTACATACATGCAACAGATTCATATATATATGTACATTACATACGTAAGGAAATACATAAACACATGTACTTCCTCTCTAATTGAAAGCCAAATAATTTTTCCTAATGAGGACATGCACATTACACTTTGTTTCAGGAATTGGGTCTCAGGCAATGTTTTCAATTAGTCAACCGAATCTTTTGGCAAACAAGAGGAAGAAATTCATTCTATCCTCTCATATTTCAAGAGAAAGTAACAATTCTGTAAACTTCCAATGGTCCCCGTTCCCGGTTGAGATGACAGGAGTATCTGTATTTGTTCCATCCCCGTCCGGTGCAAAGCTTTTTGTAGTTCGGAATCCTGAGAACGAATCTCCCTGCCAATTCGAAATTTGGGGCCGAGGTCAATTGGAGAAAGAATTCCACATTCCCCAATCTGTTCATGGTTCAGTTTATGCTGATGGATGGTAAACATCGTGAATGCAGTCTTTCCAATTATCGCCATACATGATATTTGATGCTAGTCTTGTGTACTAGACGTTTTGTGCTTTATGCCTTTAGTGATAGTAGTAGAATTACGCCTCTGTTTTGATCATTAATCTTTTCATATATCTAGATTTCCTCCAGCATAAAAGAGTTCAAATTTTCAATGATACAGGTTTCAGGGAATTTCTTGGAACGCTGATGAAACTCTCATTGCTTATGTTGCTGAGGAACCAGCTCCCTCCAAGCCCACATTTACAGGTCAGGGCTACAAGAAAGGTAGTTCCACAGATAAGGACTTTGGTAACTGGAAAGGTCAAGGGGATTGGAAGGAAGAATGGGGGGAAGCCTATGCTGGAAAAAGGCAGCCTGCACTTTTTGTCATCAATATTAACAGGTCTTTAACAATTGGTTTAGTTTCTATTAGTACCAGGATTAGAAGTAAGGAGATTTCTTGTTTAAATGCCAGGCTAACTTTAATTATCCTATGCTGTACAGTGGAGAGGCACAAGCTGTCAAAGGAATTGAAAAGTCTTTGAGTGTTGGTCAAGTTGTATGGGCGCCACCAGTTAAAGGCTCGCATCAACCTTTGGTTTTTGTTGGGTGGTCAGAAGGTATCAGAAAGCTTGGTATCAAGTTCTGCTTTAACAGGCCCTGTGCATTGTATGTGGTCAAGGCACCAAATTTTGAATCGGAAGCCAATGGATCTGAACTCAAGTGAGTTGCTTTGTGCAATACTTATTGTTACTTTTTGTTTTTTTTGATCTTCTGCTTGTTAATTGTTTTGGAAATTCATTGTGCTTCTACATTTGATATAACTATAACTTTCTTTCACTGTTCTAGAGCTAGTTCAACTGAAGATCTTCCTGCTGTAAAGCTGACTCAAAGCATAAGTAGTGCTTTCTATCCACGGTTCAGGTAACTTTTTCCCCCATCAGACACTTAGTTATGTGTTCGTGTGCACTTTACGAGGGTCTGTAACATCATGCGGTACTCAAATTTAGTCCATGATATAAGTTTTTGACTTTTATAGCCTCTCTTTTAATTTCAAAA